AAAATGCAGGTGCTTACAGAGTGCTGGACGCCAGGTTGGTGTGGATGTTCTTCAGGTGTCCGTCCAGGGCGACGCCTCGGCGATCCATGTTGCTGCTAAGAACCGGGGTGAGATACATGCACTTCTGCAGGGCGGAGCCAGGAGACACAGGGCAGCCCTCCCTGAGGAGATCAGAAATATTAACATTAGTGAACTCCATCAGCCATTCCTACGAATCAATACATATTCGCAGATGGTCTGTGGTGCAAACGGAAGTAGGTCAGAAAGTGTTGCTGAACTGATGGATAAGTACTCACTGCGTCTCTACGCTGGCCACGGTGCTCTTGAACTGGCCGCCCGAGAACAGACAGATATCAACAGACTGCTGGACAGCGGCCTTGATTTTCTTAACAGTTTTATTACTGTTGTTCTTAATGGTGACGTTGATAGCGAGTTTCTCTCCATGATAATAGAGCTGCTTGTCGAGCGTCACCTCCAGTTCAAGTTCCCCGGGACTCAGCATGAAGTCCTTCCGGACGATGGTGCAGGGCTGGCGGCCGGTCTTGCTTGGGGCGAACTGAATCCTTCGGATATTCAGCTGAATTGTGGACCTGAAACACGCAGAGGACGAGTGTAACGCTATTTGCAGCTTTAACTTTTTAAACGGGATATCTTAATATTTTTCAGTATGTGTGAATATATTATTAATAGTTGCAACATCTAAATTTTAAATAAAAAATTCTTACCTCTTATGGCTTCGGTCATCTTCGTTCTCTCCGACGTACACCTTGATGTAGTACTCGACGCCACAGGGCTTTCCCTCGTCCTCGCGGCCGGGCTGGATGGTGACGGAGGGCGGGGCCTGATCGGGCATCTTGAAGGTGAAAGGATATGCGCTACCTCCGAGCTTCTTTATGAGTCGCTCCTGCAGCTTGGTCGGCTCGACGTCCTTGGGAGGATAAATCTGCTCAGAGGCAAGGAACAGGTCCTTCTGGAAGTTCAGTCCCATGACCTCGTCCTCCTCGCGACCATACCTGAAGCTGCACACCAGCTGTCCGAACACCTTACGTCCCTGGAGGTACGAGGGATCCACCACCAGCACACCATCTGGTCAGAGGAAGCATGGCTTTGTATGTGATTACTGTTATTTGCTTACAGAGACCGATAGAAGAAAATGTTCACTAGAAACGAAAGTAATATAAACTGGCGTAAGCACTGTATCGTTGCAATGTTACATTGGTACTGACATGTGGTGACTTTCTTCATATAGTGTTTATAAAACGAGTAGAATCATGAATATACTCTTTAAAGATTCTCTGAAGTGCACCCAGGATCATATATCTACAGCGAATCAGGCAATGTAAGATCAAAAATGGTTAACTGATGAAACGACAGTATAGGACTTGAGCAACTTACCAACAGGGTCGACGGCAGATACATGATCCACGAAGTCACGACGTCCGAGGTAGATGGTCAGCTTTCCATTGGGAGCTGCCTTCTTGAACACTTTGAACTGGACGACCATCTTGGAGGAGCCAAAGGAGAGCAGTAGACGAAACAGTGACTCGAGGAGAAATGGGGATCGCTGAGAGTCTTTGCGGAGCTTCGGAGTACCTGGGTCTATATAGCTCCTCCCCGGCATGGACTGTTAACGAGATTATGGTAGCACATGCTGTCTGTGCTGACGCTGGTACTGCGCAGAGACCGGCAAAAAAGCGGAAGAGTGGTCAATATCCAGCAGTATGGAGAACTCAATCCTATTAATTACTCCAGATCGAATCAGAATGATGGCCTCTCTGTAAAATCCCTCCATATGTAGCAACTTAATTTTATACACAGAAGAGTAGTCAGTGAAACCCTAAGAATGATAGTAAACGGAAGAATCGGGAAGAGAATGTAGAGGAGGTAAAGCAGGGGATAAGACGTTGTTCACTTTTCCCTTGACCGCCTTGTCATCACTTATAATCCACTAATGATTACAGGAAGTTAACATGCCATTAGGTGACCACGTGTAAGAAGCCCCGCGGTAGGGTTGGACTCACATTTACTAACGAGAGGAGAAACGGTTTGCTGGAGTTCTTTGAGTAAGAACCTTACAAAATTTCTGGTTGAACTACAACACTACAACACTGTGTATATATATATTACAGATACATATGTGTGAGTATATGTATATGTATATTTTATATATACATGTGCGTGTGTGTGTGTGTGTATATATGTATGTGTGTGTATATATATATATATATATATATATATATATATATATATATATATATATATATATATATATATATAAGAAGGGCAAAACACTCTACCGTCTTGATACTATGGTAGAAAAAAACACAATGTAGAATTTAGATACAACAGAGACAACAGTCTGGATTCCACCTTCAGACCTGAAGATGGAATCAAGCATGTTGCCTCATTTTCAGTATATCTAGTGTGTGCATTGTGGGCTTTTCTACCATATAAAAAAAAAAAAAATATATATATATATATATATATATATATATATATA